GTCCTAAATAGTTGTACTTTTGTATAATCCATCATCTACATTCAATGATGTTGATAAGTTGTAACATTAATCCCTCTTACCTGGATTAATCAATATCATTGAACTATTTTTTCCTCTTATTTAAGGCCAATAACAAAATGGATCTCTATCTGAAAGTTCATATGTTAGAAAATTCCACTCTAAACAATCAACCACAGCTATCACCTCCTAATCTTCCTAGGCATACAAGCTGAACCCAAGCTAGTATAAGGATGTTTACCCAAAAGAAAAAAAAAGCCTCTTGTAAGGTCTCTCTCATATTTGTCTCATTATAGATAACATAACAAATATCAATGTAACAAATTGATTTCTCACTTGATCTGAAACTTCTATTTTCCATCATCTTTCAGTTTTCTTGATGTTCATCATTTAGCTATTGTCATACTTAACAATGGAATTTTGCTAGTGCAAATGTGACCTCCTTGACAAAAGTGGCATCAAGTTGCACTAAAGAGAGAGAGAGCACACCTGCAACTTGCCATGTTACCAATCATTAGAAACAACTGTTGCTTGATTACTAATATATTCTCCATCAATCAGCACCAGTCCTACTCTTTTTGGGCTACCTCACTAAACACATTCCCCGTTCTGGGAATAATGATGATACACATTAGATAAGAATTACACTTGAAGGAATTGCTTACTTTGCAATCTTATTTCTCTTTCATATCATTAGGTGTTGAAGGATATGGATGTTAGAGACTTTTGGGTATAGGAAACAACAGGAAGGGAGTCTAAATTGCTGGTGAGCAAACATCCTCTTCTTTTTCATATGACCACTAGAATGAATTCATATCAATTTCTAGTGCATGCAGGCCAATCTTGGATCTTAATTTACAACAAATTAGAATTATCATGAAATAGTTAAGTAAAATTATTGTCAACTTTTAGAGGAAATGAAGACCTAAGTCAGAGATCATCCTTACGTGTGTATCGAATACCTAAACATACAAACAAAAAAAAAAGAAAAAAAAAAGAGAGGACTGTGACCATACAATTTAAAGAATTGTGACCAAGTATTAACTCTTTTCATCACCAAACTAAATTACCCTTTTTTTTTTAGCAAGCTAATTTATTTTCCTCACTTTCATCCTTTGTTATGAACAAAAGCTTGTCCAATGATCTTGGCCCATTTTACCTTTTTTTTCTCTCATGCACTTAGGCAAGATGAGATTTAAAAGTTCAAGATTATCTCATAGGGATATAAACAAGAATAACCTTTGTATATGAACAAATACTAGAAGGTCATGATATGCAGCGGAATTAAATGAAATCACAATCAAATAGAACACCAAGATATACATGGAAAACCCCTCCAATGTGAAGGGTAAAAACCACGGGGCAAACTAGAGATAATCCACTATTAGAATAATGAATATACAAATCTCAATCTCTTACCCTAAACCCTAGCAACAATCACAAGAGAATAACTGCTGCCTACAATATCTAAAGCCTCCCCAAGTAATCACAGCAAGAGTCTATTGTCGATTTGATCTAAACTGAGATGAGAACACTACTAGATGATTGAGAACAGCCTCTCTACGTTGTCCTTGTCTACTTCCCTTTCTTTCTCTTCCTTTTCTACCTTGTTTTCCTCCTTTTCTTTGGAATCCCATGGTTGTTGCCTTCTCTCACATTGCTGCCCTATTTATGCATTTTTCTGTCTCCAAAACGCAGCCACCACACCCCCCCTAATGTTAATTAGGGTTAGGTTAAGAAGGGGTGAGCTGTGGGCTGCCCAAGCCCACTATGGGCTAAATTTGTGGGCTGCCAGCCCAACAACATCAAGAATCCGATTATTCTAAAAGTCCAAGATTATCTAAAGAAACATTACTAATCATTACTATGGTTTTTTTTCCTAAAGAAGTGACAAAAAAACACAAATGTTTTCTAACTCTAACCATTTGCTATCTATGTCAAGATTTCCTTTTGATTCTTCAATTGGCCAATATAATTTTTGACTTTCCAATTCATCAAACATTTATTGGCTACTCAAAGAAATGAAACCTACAAATCAAGAAATCACTCCTTTTAACGATAAATACTGAAATTTTCCGCTGGCTATCGGATGATAGTCTAAATCTAGGACTGGAAACTGGCAGCCATGATCAAAGAGATAGAAAGATACACACCATTGACAGGTTCAAATGATGAATGCCTTCCATAACACTCTTTCGTATAGATCATGTTCGATTTACTAATCCAAAAATATTAGGGGAATGAATGGCTAAGAAAGAGAAAAGAAGAGCCATTATTGTCTCTTAGTGGTTTAAGCTTTATTCATACAATCAAAACTTTCGAATCGCATTATTAGGGTTTAGTATACATGATCTAAATGTAGTACACATGCATCAGACAAAGCGGTCGAAATTAAAAGATTTGTGGATAATCTAATTTTTGGAATCTTCATTCACAATTGTCTCATAATAGACATGGTAACGAAAATTACTGTATTTGATAGTAAAAGAACAAGAAGTTTGCAATGGGAAGCAGTTCATTTACTATCTTTTCCCTTCCTACTCAAAATTCTCAGTTGATCTGAAAAAATTCTGCTCTACAATATCAACTCACTTAGCCTTTTTCACACCCAATAATGGCAGCAAATGCTAATGTTCAGTGACCACATTTGACTATATTTCAGAATAACGATGATGTAATGGATCATAATTTTGTTGTCTTTTTTCTCTTTCATGCACAAGAAAAGATTCGTTAGTTCTTCATGGATATGTCATAAGCCTTCGAATGTAAGAGACAACAGAAACAAACTCTTAAGTTGAGCTAAGGATTCAACCAATGCAATGTATTGGCAATTAGACAACAATTTGCTCTATTTTTACCACTAGATTTAGCGATCGCATAGTTTTCATATCGATCGAGATGTCGTACCAAATAGAGAGCTAAGCAAAATATCCTCTACAACCATTAATCATGATTTTCCTACTCTATTCTAAGAACCAATAAAATGTTTTCGGATAGAAAACATCAACAAACTTACGAAGATAATTAAAGTCAACGAGATCTTTCAGCTTGTTCATCTATTTATGTCGATTACTTAGATTGAAATGATGTAAACAAGGATCTTAAGAACAATATCGTAAAAATGAAGAGATTTTAGAATAGAATTATAATTTTAACATTTGTACTAAGACAAGAGACTTTGAATGTTGTAACCCTACGATAGAAGTAATTAGGAGAAGAAATATTTTCATTCATAAACAATTAGAACAAGTAATAATCGTTTAGCATGATATAAGTATATGCTAAAGAGGTTTATAAGTGAAGTAGAGATTGAGAAATACTTTATGAGAAATTAAATAAATATTATAATACTCTTAGTTTAACAAATGATAATTTACAAAGTACCGTGCCGATAAAAGATTTTACGACGAATGTCAATTAAGATATTATAATTTATTATTATTTTTTAACGAAGGGTAAGCGACGAATTATCACGGACAAACTTCTAAACATGATGCTTGATGTGATGCTTATATATGTCTGTATCTTTTGGTATGTTCATGCACAACATATCGAGGGACGACCGAATGCTTAATAGTCCTATTTTAGGGCTTAATAATCTTATTTTAGTTTGGTTTTGCGACCGCTTTAGGCTTGTAAATAAAGGTTGTGTCATGTGGACACTTGTGAGAGATTTTTGATCTGTAATGGACCATTTTGACCCTTTGTTGTACAACTATTCAGAGCTTGTAAAGTCTGTTTGTAATTTACATTGCTTATGAAGTGTTTTCGAAAATGTTTGCTTGTGGATCCCGAGTGAGACGTTTTCTCTAACCCGTTTTCTCTTTTGTGGGTTCTAGGGGACCATGGGAGGCTTCGAGAAGGTTGACTTTTGCGGACGGACACGTAAGGGTGCCACACGACTTAGGCAAAACTAGCTAAGTCCGTGATAGAATGTAAGATTTTACGATTAACCGTCAAAGTCTTTACTAGCTAAGTTAATTGATATCTCCGTATAATTTATCATTAATATTATTAAAGTTAAAGATTCACCTTAAAAAGGGATAGTTTATTATGACAAAGATCTCATGTAATATAATAAAAATTAATGAATTATGTGTTGATTTGACTTTTTATTTCCGGTAAGCAAGATGAATGAAGTAAGAGATATAATGTTATTACTAGGAGATCACATCCAATTAGAAGTCGAACTTAACATCATCTCCAACTTGATCTTAGCAATTTGTTAGAAAAAGGTGAATCCATTAGTTTCTCCCCAAAATCTAATTTTTTTGGAATCTCAAGATCAAGAAGACAACCCAAGAGCCAAAAAAAAAATGAAATTTCGTTCGATAATTGATCTTATTTGTTCTCTTTTCTTTCTTCAAGAAGAAAAATCAGCAGATATAAAGTCAACATCGTTATCGTCGGAAATTGATACAACAACAACAACAAGTCCTCGTGATCCACCAACTAAAAATTAATATGTTCATCGGAAAAATGGTGCCTTTGATTGACATAAATATTGTGGTTGCAGTCCAGACGGATCGTTCCCGACATGCTCGATCCACTTGTGGTCGTGTTTGCAGCTTCACTTGGCGGCGTGATGTCATTCTACAATCTCTTGACACATACATTAATTGCGTGGCGTTGGGGGTATAAGCTACAGTCAATTCAAGGGGGGCATTTTGGAGTCTGAATCCTCAATTTGCTCCACCATTGAACATAGCTGTATTGTTTTTGACTTCTCTTTGACAATCTTAAATCTTATTTTAGTATTTGATATAAATATTTATAAAATACTTATTCTAATTCTTAGTCATTTATTTTAATTATATATATATATATTTCAATTAATAATAATAATAATAATTATATTTTGCTCTTTTCTTTCTCGTGAAACCGACATTCAACAACACAAAATTAAATTTAAATATATAACCCTCTATTTTATTTTGCCCTTTTTTAGTTTTCGTCTCTCAAAAGTCTTATGAGAAGACGAGAGAAAGGGAGTGAAAAAGGAGCGCATTTTGGGTTGGAAGCGTTGCTTTTATTCTCTTCTCTCTCTCTCTCTCTCGCGGTTTCCTTCTTTGCTTCGCTTCCGTTGTGCCTCTGCGCTGCTTGTTTTGGTGTTCTTTGAAAGGGGTTATCGCTCCGCCCGACGCCGAAAACCGATCCCCGCAACAACCTCGAATCATTGAATCCCTTCCCCACCTCCTTTTTATCGCTCCGCCCCCCCCGCCCCCGAAAAGATCCCTCATCTATCCGTTTGCTTGCTTCTCCTTCCGATCCTTCCCCGATTGGCTTCCGCCACGCACTCGATCTGTTCCGATGAGTTCTTCCCCTGACCGCGCGGACTCTTCCAGCCCTTGTTGCGCCTTTTGGCGCGTCGGGTGAAAGGGTGGTGACCTCGGGCACTCGGGATCGATTTCTTGGACATGGGTGACCAGCAGGACTGGCCGCCGCTGGCGAACGGCGGCTCTTCGGAAGGTTTTTCCCACCCGATGCCGACGAATCCTGACCTGTCGGCGGTCGGCCCTGGGAACTTGATTCGCGCTGAGCAAGCCACCGCAGAGGTTCTCCGGTGCATTCAGCCGACGGTGGTGTCCGAGCAGAGGCGGAAAGCCGTCGTGGAGTATATCCAGAAGCTTCTCAAGAGATATATAGGCATTGAGGTGGATCATTTTGTCGCCCGGTCTTCTCTCTTGTTTTTCTGCTATCTTTTAATTCCTTTTGTTGTGTAATGCATTGGGTCTTAGCTGCTCCTGTTCTAATTGCAGACGATTGTTTCTTTGTATGATTTATGCAGTCGAACAAAAAGCAGTTTTTTTGTTCTTGTTTTTTATTTGTGCTCTACGATTCAGATAGTGCATGGTATTACTGTCTGCTTTCCATTCGATTTTTCTTGGGTTTTAGGTGAGGTGTGGTTCTTCTGGACTGGTAAATAAGGCCCATGTTTTTGTTTTTCTTGCCAATTGAGATGATTAGCGTGCCATTATTTTCAAATTCAAATGTCGATTTCTTGATTTGCCTTGGTTCGGTGACAGCTTTCTTGTAGCAAGTGGACTTGTACCATAGTAAAATTTCTTACGTTGTAAGAGCTTCTTAGTTGTTACGTTGTTCTACGTTCTTTCTTTTGCTTAGTGAAAGGTAAATCGCACCATGGCAATGTATTTTCATCGGTTAGTGTTTTCACATGGAAGAATTCCTGCAGATATGTCTATAACCCTTTTAATATTCTCACTAGAACAACTTTTTTAATTTCAAAAGCTTGTCCCGAATCTCTTTTGGTGGGATGTAGTAATTTTTAGCAATATTTATAAAAAAAAATCAAAAATATTATAGCCAGTTCTCAGTATGTTATGATCAAAGCAATTTTTTTTGTGATTACTAGTATAATCGTGATATTTATCAAGCATAACTCTTCGGGTAGATCACGGTCTTCAAGCTCTGTCACCTTGGAACACTTGGAATTCGACAACGAAAAAGGACATCATTGTTGGTCAGGAGGTCTTGTTGAGATATGCATCTCCACGAAAACAATTTTCTGCAGTAACATTTTCTGATAGTAATATCCTATGCTATGAAGCATGGACACAGATGTGACTTCCTGTACTGGTTACTTTTGTTGGGCGGATAACATTCCAGCACAGTATTGGTATCAATTTTTTATATCCCTAGGTTCTGGATGGTATTGAGTTGTTCTGCAAGTTGGAATCATCTTCGTAGTGTAGATTGGATCAAGTATTGAGTTTGGATTTAGTTGGATTTTTGGTTGAAACTGTCTCCTATTTCTTGTGGATACTTTTGGTAGAATGCACATTCCTGTCTTGAGTTGTATTCTTAAGTAGGCGTCCCGCTTTTATATTATGTTAGCGGATTTATAAGATCAACTAAATTCAAGTCCTATGTTTGAATTGATATTATGTTAGCGGATTATGTTTTATCTAATCCTCCCCCTATTTTATCCTTCTAGTATCCCTATCACAATACTCTTCCCAAACCCTAAGCCTTTCACTCTTTAGATTATCCAAATATAATAATGCTCATTATTGATACCCATCACAACATCAAGTTGCAGCATTTGTGGAGGTTAATCAGAAACACATTTTACTATATTATTGAATGCTTGTCCTCATAGGTCAGTCTGCTGAAGTTGCCACAATCAATGTCCTAGAAGCAATACATTATGATTTTAGCCTTTTAGGTTTGTTGATAACCGTCATACGACTGCAGTCGGTGAAACTGTCTTTTGTGTTATTATATTCTCAAGTTTTCTATCTTATATTTTGTGGTCTTCTTCCACGAGTCACTATTGATTTTATGATGCAAAATTTACAGGTATTTCCATTTGGATCAGTTCCACTGAAGACATATCTTCCTGATGGAGATATTGATCTGACTGCACTTAGTTTTCCAAATTCTGAAGATGCTTTGGCAAATGATGTGCGTTCTGTTCTTCAATCAGAAGAACAGAACAAGGGTGCTGAGTTTGAAGTAAAGGATGTTCAATACATTAATGCTGAGGTTTTTCATTCTTCTGGAATTCTGTTTATTGGTTGTTATGAGGTTCTTGTACCTAATCATCTTCACAAATTTTCCATTCGGCTATACCATGAATGGTCCTTGCTGCTTTCCTGTTTTTCCAATAACAACTTTGCAGTCATCCAATAACAATTTGAAATGAATGATCATTTACCTAGAGTTAGTCAACAACAATTTGAATTATTAAATTTGTATCCATGTGAGATTATATTATACACTGTCTGGGTAACTACTCACATAAAATACAAATGACTCTTCAACAATTGGTTGTCCTATCATTTGGTAAGTCATTGCTACTGTACCTGTTGATCTTAGGTTTTTTATTTTTTGTGATGGTTTTAAATAACCTGAGAATTATAAGCAAATCCTGTGCTAGATAACCTCTTATTGCCATTATGGCACAATGTTTCACATGAATATTTGCTAGCTGGGGGACTATGACAAATGATGCTCATAATCAAAAAAGTGTTTCTAACATGAACAACAAAGAAGTTATTTTGAGTTTTGAGATAAGTTAGAGCAGTGTGTATAGCAGTTTATGTGCCAGCGCAATCAAAGAACACTTACACAAGAATTTATAAATATCAAATCACATGTATAATAAAAAATTGTTTCAGAACTTTGAGGCTTGTCTGAGTAGGATGTAAAGGGGAAAAGATGATAATGTGTAGGGTTATGACTGATCAATTCGTAGTAGAAATAACTGGAGACGAGGCACTATCATGTGCTTCTCTGTTTTTTTTTAAAATGAAATATAGGGTTTTCTTTGAAAAAACTTCACTAACTTTATCGTATTACTGGGAAATTGTCACACATTTCATGCTTGACCGTAAAATGTCCATATAGCTTACCACTGAAGCAATTCATTGCTGATTCAATGAGTGGTCCATTAAACATTGAAATGTACAAAATGTAGTGTGATGATGCTCTTTTGACATGAGTGAGTGAGAGAGTGAGAGAGAGAGAGAGAGAGAGTCCTCTTGAAAAGTAGCGTTACTTTTGTGGCATCCATTGTGAATATTTTTTTGTTTTAACAATATTCAATGTCTACACTACTATGCATAACAATATAGACCTGATGTAATCACCAAAAGGAACTTGTTGAAACCAAGTTTTCTATAAAGCACCATTGCAATTCTTTATGGGACTGTATTATGTTCTTATTTACATTATTCCTTGAATTCATGCTATTTTTCTTTACTCCTTCACTGTGTGTCTCAATGTACAAGAATGGAGTGTCTTTGTTCCTTACAAATGGTAGCAAGTAGGGACTTATTGCTTTTGCTTGAATGCTGTTCAGTGCTATAAATTACTATGCTGACAATAAGAATCGAGTGTCTTTGTTCCTTACAACTGGTAGCGAGTAGGGACCTATTGCTTTTGCTTGAATGCTGTTCAATGCTATAAAATCATTATGCTGACAATATGCGCTCAAATATTTTAGTTGTGTTGTTTTGAACTCTGGTAGGATGGTTACTTCATAAGGAGTAGTATTCAGGTTAAATATATATATAATACATGACTGCTGCAACCGATTCTCATTGAAGCTCCATACTTCACTTGTCACCATTCATCAATTCCTTGTTCTTTCTTGCTCTTTATCTTATTTTCTAGTTTGAGATAGTTTGCCAAGAAAGCATGTCTATGGGTTCAAAATTGCAAAGATCCATCTTATTCAATACTGACTTTAGTTATGCAAGTATGTCGTGTCTGGCCTAGAACAGTCAGCATTAACAGTATATTGCGTTAATCAACTATATTTTTCTTCCATACTACCAATAGCATCCTGATCATAACGTGTTGTGAGAAAGAGATGCAATTTTACTTTTCCTAGTAATTCTGTGTTAAGTGCTCTTCATGCTGCTACTTAGTTATGCATTATCTTTATATTTTGTATTGATAGTATAACTCCATAGTATATACACAAACGAATACGTAAATTTTAGTGATGGCACTTGTTTACACAATAATTTCAATATTGATATCTTCACAATTTTTATTTTTCTTGTTTAAATCCCTGTATCAACTTTTCTTTCTATAATTTTCATTTACAATTTTTTACACAATGTGACAACTGGTGGTAGAAAATTATTAAACTCTTTCCATAAGCTTAGTAAGTTTTGAAATCTGGTGATAGGATTTCCTGTGGCATGTTAGTGCTTTTTCTGATGCTGCTTAGTTATGTATTATCTTTATATTTTTATATCTTCACAATTTTTATTTTTCTTGTTCGTATACTTGTATGATTTTTTTTAAAACAGTTTGCATTTACATGTTTTACATAACACGATAAGCATTAGTAGAAAATTTTTACACTGTCCATATGCTTATCAAGTTTTTGAATCTGATGATAGGATTTCCTGTGGCAGGTCAAACTTGTTAAATGCATTGTTGAGAATATTGTAGTAGATATCTCATTCAATCAGATTGGTGGACTTTGTACACTTTGCTTTCTTGAGAAGGTATATGGTAAATGCTTGCTGGTACACATATTAATTAAAATTTGCTCTTTGCTTTCCCTTGCAAGGAAAAGCATCTTGAAGAAATGGATGACATGTGCTTGGTACATTGATCTCATATAATTTTCTTTCTTGGCTCAAAATTTTTAGATTTGTTGCTTGTTCATAGGTTGACCAGGAAATTGGTAAGGACAATCTCTTCAAGCGCAGTATAATATTGATAAAAACTTGGTGTTACTATGAGAGTCGCATCCTTGGTGCTCATCATGGTTTGATTTCTACGTACGCATTGGAAACGTTAGTGTTGTATGTTTTTCACCTCTTCCATGAATCGCTAGATGGTCCTTTGGCGGTGAGTATTCAAAGGAATATATATCCCTCATATTCCAAGGAAATTGAACATATATTTTGTTGGTTCCTTTCCTTGAACTCTTTGTCTACATTACTTGGATTTCATTTAATCTGGCTATGTGTTGTAGGTTTTGTATAGGTTTCTGGACTACTACAGCAAGTTCGATTGGGACAATTACTGTGTTAGTTTGCAGGGACCCATTCCTGTTTCTTTTCTGCCAGAACTAGTAGGTAAGCAAAATTTTAAGTTACCATTCTAGATATTTGTGCTTGACAAAAGGTCATACTGTTTTCTGACCATTTTGTTTCCTTCACAGTTGAGCCACTAGAGACTAACGGGGGTGATTTACTGCTTTCGAAGGAATTTATTAAAGAATGTATCGACATGTTCTCAGTTCCTCCAAGATTTTCAGAGAGCTCTAGAATATTTTTAAAGAAGCACCTAAACATTGTGGATCCACTGAAACAGAACAATAATCTAGGGCGCAGCATCAGCAAAGGTAAGTCATATTTTTTTCTCAATTTATGGAGTGAAATTTGATAATATGATAATATGGTCTTGTTACACTTGTATTTGTTGGGATATTTTCACTTAGTTCTTTTGTTTCTCTGCTATGTAATAGGTAACTTTTACCGCATACGTAGTGCATTTACATATGGTGCCCGAAAACTTGGTCGGGTACTTCTACTACCTGCTGAAAATATTGCTGCTGAAGTTGGTATGTTTTTTGCAAGCACCTTGGAGAGGCATGGAACTGGAGAAAGGCCAGACGTTCAACAAGATGTATCTCTTAGTTGTTCAGATAGCAGATTTATTGAGCATAATGAGGTTGGCTCTACATCATCAAACAAGGAGTCGCCTTTAGATTCACAAGTTAAGTGTTCTGGTGGAGCACTATGTGACAACATAAATAACATCAAGATCTCAGATTTGGATGAGGGGTATGGCACCGAATTGCAATTCAATGGACATAACTCTAATAAGCATCTTGATGGACTTCACAACTGTACTAAAATGGAAAATCATCTCATGGGAGGAGAAGCTTCAGTTAAGCATTTGGATAAAAATGCCAGAGATCTTGTTAGCATAGAAGCTTTTAATTTGAAAGCCGCTGAAAGTTGCTTAGATTCTTCATCACATAATCAGATAGGCGGTGACTTGTCATCTGGAAAAGCTTATCATGCACCCCCCTTGTTCTTCCATGTGGGAAATGGTTCTGAATCTGTGATACTTGATAATGTGAATTCAGGGGATACTGCAAAGAAAGAAGTGATTTCTAGCAGGTTTGTGGCCCCCGGTGAGGAACCAAACAATGAATCTGAATCACACGGTACTAGTACATCTGGGTTTAAAACCAACTCTGTATCTGCCTCCACTGGCAGCATTCATGGATCTTCAACAACAAGTTGGAATTCCCATTTATCAGAATATTTAAATACTGCAGCTTGGTCATGTGAGGGAAACGGAAATAGTAGTCCCAATTGCAGTAAACTATCAGATCTAGTTGGTGATTTTAATCTGCACTACATGAATCTTCTTTATGCTTTGAAGTCCCAGAGCCAAGAATACTTTATGAGTCAGTACTTTATGCCAAATTATGGACCATCCCCTTCCCAGTATCAGAACAAGCAATCATGGAATGGTTTTTCTCAGCAGAGCATTTACATGCATATTAGAGCAAATGGTGTCATCCCTGCACCATCATTTTCTTTGAATCCTGGTGTTTATGCTGCAAAAGATATCCAAAAAACAAAGGGAACAGGAACATACTTTCCCAACACGGTATGCAGCATTTTTGAATTTACTGCTTTCAGTTACTTTGGCCCCATTAATTTAGTCCACTACCTTCTCAATTAGTGATCAAATTGTCCACTCTGGATCTGGTCTTCACTTGGTCTCCTCCACTGCAGCCATGTTGCTTTGTTCTTTTCCTGTGGAACCTAAACTTTAGTTATTTGTTGATGTTTGGGCCCTGTTTTTTTACTTTCTGCATCCAGTTCTAGTCCAAAATGTTTCATACTATAATCTCAATTCAGGTTTACATGATCCTGATGTCTTTTGCAGATTCAGGTGCGGTTTCTTATAGAAAGATGTCTTTTGTAGACTAAAAGCACGGATATAAAAACATGGAAAAAATTATTAACAGCTTTTTACTGGTTTTAAGGTTTTTTTGTTCCTCGAGTTTTGTAGAATTCTCGTTCATACAGAGAAAGACAGTCACCTGGGAGAGGAAAGAATCAAACGCCTCCAAATCAGCTGTCAAGATCCCGCAACAACAGCCGATTGGAGGTACAAGATAGGAACCTACTTGAAGAAAATAATGAGACACTTCCACAACCACAGTCTCCTGTTTTCACGGGGGTCCCCCAGCCTTCATGCTCGGCCACTAGAGAGCTTTCACATGGCAATGACATTGTTCTTGGTTTAAAGGGAAAACTAGAGTTTGGGTCCCTTGGTCCCGTTAAACTAAGAGTCTCCTCACCAGAACAAAGCAAAAAGCTAGAATCAGTTAGTCCTTCTAATCAGAGCTCCGCAGCAATCCTTGAATCAACAGTTCAGAGACCCTCAACGAACTTGAGATATGAAAGGTAATAAACTTTCCTAAAATTAGTCATTAACAGTACTTGCATAATAAGTTCATGTTCCCAATAGACTCCGTGAGTATTCTTGGTGAAAACAAGATTGAAGCTCTGGTTTATATTCGATTTCTTCAATCATTAATTTGGTACCTATTCCTCCAGCTGTGATGTCTAAGTTTGTATTCTAATGAAGACATGAATTAAATCTTGCTTTTGAGTTTCTATGAGTTCTGGATTTTGTCATAGCATACAATCACCAGTGGTCCATGTTGTGTGCTGACACTTTTTTTTGTGGTTATGCTGGCCAGCATGGATCCCAGCTATATCCTGTGGTTGCCTTGTTGGTTTGTTACCATGTTCAACAAACCTACACAATTGTCTTACCCATGGTCTCATCTATATTCATATTTTGGTACTTCTTTCTCTTTTGCCTTAATTTCCACACATTCTCTTTGCAAAATTCTTTGACCTTCTACTGTAACTTATTTTTCTTTTGCTGTGTCAGAGAATAAATGATTCCAGTCCTATAAAATTGCATATCGCTTTCTTTGTAGGATGATGTGTTAAAATTGTCATCATTCATCATTATTGTTTTTGTTAGAAAGAGAGAAATGAATAGAAACTGCAATATTGCATGGACGCAGACTCTAAAATCTGATAAGGATGTGTATCCAAATAACCAAATTGGCAAGGAGATAACTAGATTACAGGGACAATATCATGGGAACATAAAGTGTTCAAGGTAAAGTTGACAAGATTTCATAGAAGCGTAGAAGAATTTACTACTTATATCGAACACTTGTCCTAGGATGAAACCTAGAGTGTGTGTGATGACTTTAGGACTTTTCATTCACTAGTGAGAACTGCTAATGAATGTTGTCAGGAGCAGCTGCATAAGCACCTATGTAGTTGAGCTGCTACCATCACCTAGGCACCTACTGCTATGAAGGGTTCTATGCTAGACATTCCCGAGTGCTTGAATAGTTCTTAGGCCCCCAAGCTGATTTTTTCTTAGATGTAGCTACATTGTTATCAACATTTATTTGTTTGACAAAAATGAATAGTTTGGTTAGTTAATTCCCTTTTATTGTGCATGTTTTTCAGACATGGTGCATGAAATTATGTCTTTGTTTCTACAAATTAGGTGTCCTGGATTTTTTATTCTGCTTTTGCTTGCATTAGCATCTTCCAACATAACAGTTGTAAAGGAAACATAAGAAAGAACGTAACCAATCTTAGGATCATTTTAAAGACGCATCGAGGTATGAAACAATGGGAAGATAAAACACATGATTTATGTAAAAATTATACCAAAAGTAATGAATATCATCATGTTACTTGAGAACTTACTATTGAATATGGTTGTACAAAACTAATGTTTCACAATACGAAATCCATACATTTTCAACAGAATTTTGTATTGTATGCATCCACTAATATGCTCAGGGCTTTCGTATATACATTTCTAAGTGTTCTGACATCCTTGCCACTAATCAAACTGAAACTTAAGAATTTTCATAATCAACAAATATTCTGATTAAATACAGGACTTTTAAATTCGACCAAATCAACATGTAGAAATTGAAATGCCTGATGTTACACGGGCTTATAACATGGCGGAATGACATATGGTACACGGCTTTTATTTGTCTCTCAACATAAGCTGATTCCTCACTTGTCTGTTCCAGTCTGTGCATTCATATCACTAGCATAAAATGTAATCTGCAATATGTTAGTTATCACTGTACCAAATTTAGTAATTATGTATATCACTATATTGTCTAGCATGGTATTTATAATTTAATTTATCGATATAGATTCACATTGGCACATAAATTCATGACTGTAAATTTTCTATTTATAAAACAATTGTCATATTGAAAAACGTGTGCACGGATCAAAGAAATGCAACTAAAGCATAAGAGAGACTGAGCCACTTACCATGTGCATCTAAACTTCAGTTTGGAATAGAAAGGCAGCACAGAATACTCGAGTCCAAGTGGGTTTGTAGCTTTTCTCAGATGTCACAGCACTGTTGTCTGAGATCTTACTATTTCACATTTTTGTTTAGACCAGCAACAGTACCATGGTCTATTCAACTGATTGTTCGATTTAAACCTGCAGGTCAATGAAACCTTATCAGCTCAAAGATGAAAGCGACTTCCCTCCTCTAAATGGCTGATTTCTACTGAAGACCAATTCACACGGAGCAGACATGGGGGGGGCGGCCATGAAACTAACAAATGCTGACCACCGGAGCATCTTTGCTAGAGCAGTGTCGCTGAGGGACGTGTATAAGAGTGTTATCTAATTGTTGCGGTGAATTTGTTTCTTGTACATTCCGACAACTTCTCTCCCTGTTCTTCTTCTTTTTTCGGAACCCTTGGCACCCACCACCCCTTCATGTGGGTGTAAACAGGCACCCAACTCACATCCCTCTTTGCCTAACCAGTTTTTCTGTTGCAGGTGGTAAAAAGATTCTCTGGTTTTGGTTTGTTGTAGAAAATGTTTTTGGCAGAATCCTCCTAATTCAAGTCAGATTTTCTTTGATGCCTCTATTTTCAATTTCGTCGTTGGCTTCTAGCTACTGGTTTCTTACGGGTTTTCATATCAAGTAACTATCGTGCTGTGGCTGCTTCTGTCTCGTCTTCCTTCGTCCGGTTGCTTTCGAGTATTTATTATAGCGTTCGTTCAGTTGAGCACGATCGAATGTATCTTTTGTACGCCTTTCCGATCATATTTTTCTTGGACAAGCATACAGCCTCTTCTTTTCATCTTTGCCATCCTCTTTTTCTTTTATGTCTTCCGAAATGTGAGACGTGTGATTCTTCTAATAGAAGCAACTCTGTTGTCTTCTTTCCTTTTTCAAACTCTGGAGATATCTCATTCTAGTCTCCTGGAGAACATCAAAAGCAGTTAAATTGTTCTCGGAACTACTCAAGTGTTGAGATCCATTTTTATTCTCTATCTCTCGCTCTCTCGCTCGCATGTCTGATGGTTATATCGCTTCGTCGTAGATCTTATGCAGCAGCCTTGGCAGTGCATCATTAAGTACCTCAACTTACTAATTTGTTAGGCATAAACTACTAGAGTATGATACTTAAGTTCAATTTACTAATAATATATTTATCTTTTTTTATTAAATTATTTAAGCTTTCAAGCTTTCTCCCATTATTGACACGAGACTAATGATATATTATAAATTTTTTCTTCAACTTAACATAGTATGTATAGTTTTAGTGTTGTTCACGGATAGTTTTTTCCTACTTAAATTTTATATAATATATTATGAGATAATCAACTCACCAATCATTGGCCTAAGATGCATAAAACCTTTTAAGTTAATTTAAATATTTTAATAATTTATAATGATACCACTAATTCTTTATAGGATCCCCGATAAGTCTCGTAGGCAAGTTTAATGCTTTGCCTAGTAATAGTAATCCACAAATAGTGTGTACCTTAAACACCCAATGATATGGATGCCAACATATCACCTTTCATTACTTATTTAAGTATTGCACTTCCTTAGATATCCGAATCAAAATTTCCTAAATTAATCCTATAGCTTATGAATGGATTACAATATGTATCCAATTAATCCTCCATCCCTAACAACGTGGAGTTTCATCCTAAAACTAATACGAGAACAATTATTAGATATAGTTTCTCCCACTCGTTCAAGTTCTACAGTACTGTCACATGCAACTCACAAAGGAAAGGTTAACTAATATGAGATCTTGCTTGTCCTATGGAAAGCTCCACTGTACTTGGCAGTGACTCAAAGGTGCTACATTTAACATCAACTTGTGATGAAGAAACTGGAGACATCACATGTCCTCTTCACGTCCATCGTCAACGCCCATGACAGATACAATCGAGTGATGCCATGACTGACCACACAGATTTGCATCGTATGCATACGTGTGGCTCACCGGCAAACCAAAAGCGCAGAGAGAAGATTGGAAGCGTTCTAAAGAGCCCAGTTTTGGGAGACAGGAATTGATGCTTTGACTATATTTTCACTTGTTTACGATTATCGATTTTTTTTTCTTTTGTTTTTTTAATAAGAGCACTAAAGAGAAAATAGAGCTGTCGATATTCCAAGTAGGAAATAAAAACATGTCGTGTTATAATGTATATCGGGTTTTCATATAAGAATATTAGGAGGTTAAGAAATAATATATATAGTTTATTTTATTAAAAATATTAAGATGAATATGTAAAGTTATTAAAAAATATATTCAAAAATAATTAGATATAGTTTTGATAGAATATAAAAATAAAGATGAATTGTTTATAATGATACGTATGTATCGTCACATCCTTAGTTAGGATTATCAAAAACATAAGACATCCATATGAATATGTTCGTTTACAACAATCGATCTAAATGTTAACCTCATATAGTTAAAAAAAAATAAAAAGATGAACATACAGATAATATGTTGCCATCATATATAACGTAAGTAATACAAAATAATTAGTTTTTATCAAGCACAGATAACTCTTACAAATGAGTTAAACATCTCGAAGATAGGTTTAGAACTTATGGAATCTTATATAT